TGTGAGTAAAGAACAGCAAGCCGTGGTCTTGCTCGCTCCTACTTGCTAGGGGTGAAGAGAAGGAATTTCTAGATCAGCTCACAGGAGCTCTGGGGGAAGAGATCCAGTGCACACGCATACGATGTGAAGGAGACGGTTATTTCTTATTAGCACCTTTGGTTGACAGTTGTAAGGGCCGTTTCAGATGCTGAAAAGACAGAAGGGAACCCTCTTCCAGGCCATCCACCACAGGGAAGGGAGAGCAGGAGAGACAAAAAGGAAGCAGGAAGAGCAAACGACCCACCTTACCATCCATCCTTCCCTCCCTCCTTCCAAGGGAGCAGGGGAAGCAAAAAGGGTCAGGGGAAGCCTACGCGTAAGGCGGAAGACCAGCCTCACCTGGCTGGGGCAGCGTCACGCTGTCTGCATTATCTTCCCCCAAACTGAAGGATGGATGCACGGCCCGCTCCCACTTCCACCACGGAAAGGCCAGGGAAGGGCATTTCATGCCCTCTCCCCCAAGCAAGTGCAAGTGATGAACACCAGGAGGAAGATCTGGGCCAGAAACAGACTCCCCTTTTCTTCCCTTCCCCCTGCAAAGCTGAGCAAGTTGGAAGATGCAGGAGAAGAGGGACCAGGCCACCTGAAAGTGCCCATACAACTGCCAAGGTAGCACCAATAGACAAAGGAAAGGGGAAGCCAATATGGGGGGTATGCTGCATGGGGCACCCCCCATCACCCCAGCTTTGTCTAAAGCACCTTCCAGGCATGACACTTCACCTGCCCCATTCCGCCTCGCTCTGGGGGCATCTGGATCAGCAACTGCCATGAGGACAGCAGAGGAGAGGGCAGATCCAGGCTGCAAACCAAGAAGGGGAAGGATGGCAGGATCAGAGTCATGGCAAGGGGGAAACATAGGAATGGAAGAGACTGCATGCACATTGTGGAAGAAGGCTTGGGGGGCATGGGCAAGGGCTCCAATGCTCTTACATCCTCCCCTCAAGGGTCTGGAGCTCCTCTTCAGTTTTTGTCAAAGATGGAAGGGGAAGGAGGAGGAAGAGCACCTTCCCCACCACCCCCACAGGCACACAGACACACGCTCACCCATCCCTCATCCCCAAAGGCTCCACCGCCCGTTGGACAACACCACATTCAAGGACAAACAACCACTTCCCAGCCCCACCACGACCCTCCCTACCTCCTCCCAGTTGCAGCGACACCCAGGAATGGTGGGTGCCCCTGCCTGCCCCCACCGACACGCTCCAGCCTCCAGGCAAGAGGGAGTGGGCAGGGGGGAAAGGAGGAGGAAGGGTGGCAGTGAGGGCAGAGGGACAGCCAAGGGGAGAAGGAGAGAACTAAGGACAGCCATTCGCACCACGACTTCTCGCAGGTAGAGCTCCCCCCACGCCCCTGGAGTCGGGGGGACCTGGCTGCTCACTTGCTGCCTCCTCCGCCGCCACCGCCTGCCGCCACCTTCTCAAAATCCTCCGCGTTGCAGAACTCCTTGATGGTGACGGTGAGGAGGTTGCTGGTGACATCCGTGACCACCACGTTAGAGCAAGGGGACATCTCAGGACGCCAGTCGCCGGCCTCCTGTTCTGGGTCAGAAGAGGAAAGGGACAAGGAGGGCGTCTGCCCCCCGCTGCACCCTCCTGGGGGAGAACGCTTGCTGGTGGCGGCTGACTCGGGTGGGATCGAGAGGTCGAGGACCTCCGACTCACGCCAGTCGGGGATGGCTGGGCTGAGGGTCTCGGGGAGCAGCTTCGGAGGGGAATCATCTGGGTCGGAGGAGGAGTGGGGGGCGGGCGACGGGCAGCCGGAGGAGCTGGAGCTGGGGGCATCATAGGGGGTGGAGCCCATAATGAGCCCACAGGAGGCTGCCTGGGAGCCTTCGGCCTCCCCTTTGCTTTCCAGAGAGGGGGCAGGCGCAGTGGACGGCTTATTGTAGAGTGAAAAGGCGCCAAACTTCATGTGACGGATCTGGGTGCGGAGGACGCTCTCGCTGAACTTTTTGCTCTTGCCGATGACGCGGTTTCGGGACGGGATCTTGGGCCGAGCCAGGCCCCCGGCCCCATTGGCTGGCTTCCC